CAGAGTTATGCCTTCGTTCTCATGCTTCCACAACTTGGGCTTGACTTGTGCTTCTTATTTTTGCATGAATGCTATGATGAGACATACTTGACTATTTAGCCGAATTCGGCACACTCCATCACTCATATATACAATTGTAAAGTTATAAAATTGTTTCCTATTTCTGGATAAGCCTCTCGAATCATATTTATAATTTTTCTTATATAAGGGGGCTTTCGAGGCTACTATTAGATCATTCATATGAGGTGCAATTGCCCAACTTAGTTTAAGGTGATAATGGTAGTGTACATTTCAACTACCAGTCCTCTTATCATCTTAAACGAATTAGGATCAATACACCTTATATATATGATCTACTGGTAGCCTCGAAGGCCTACTTATAAACGAAAATGTATAAATTATTTTTGAGGCTTATTCAGAAATAAGAGACACAATTTTTGCCAGGGAACTTTGGAAATTAGTGGATCTTATTAGGTGGGCAAATAGCAATTTGCATACTTTATTGAAATCATAAACCAATGCTACCACTGGTATGGATTATTACTGTTTGTCCACTATTAACAACGAACGCATATAAAAACTGTTTCAGAACTAGATAAGCATTTATAATTATTTGTTAATAGACTATAATCTAAGTCAGCCTTTCTTATTATGTATGTTCTGGCACTTGGCAAGCTTGCTGCCGGTTTATATTTTAACTTGTTCAAATTTCATCATTTCATTTATAAAACCAATTTCAGCGCGGCTACACAACCACTGCTTCTCCTTTGCGATCAGGTATTTCATCTAATAATATCAGTCATATTTCTGCGGAAGAAGGCGATGAAGATGAGGAGGAGGAGGACGGTTCTTACGGAGATGATACAGGCGCCCGAGACAACGACATTGCCGCTGAAACAATGGACCTAGAAGACCTAGAAGAAGCCCAGGAGAGCTGTGATTATAGCTCCTCACAGACTGTTAACAACAGTGGGTTTCGTGCCTCAACTCCAGAACAAGAAACCAATAGTAGTAGTCCCTGTTCTCGCTGGCAGGTTTCTGTATCCTCTCCGTGTCGAGCTCGTGCTCGTGTCGTTGCCGCTTCTGAAGCCGACTTAGAGGCCTCTCATAGCATGGATCACCAGCCCATTGGGATTATTGCGACTCGCGGGGGCGAGGATAATTCTGTCACATTTACCGACAGCGGTAGCAGCTATACAGCCAGGTCAAATCAGCTGCAGTCTGTTCATAGCCGGCGCCTTCGTCTGCGAGCACGTCGGCGTGGGCCCTTAACATTAGATGGCAGACGGGCTTCTGGGCTTAGGCTGAATCATCTTGGTCACATTGATCTCGAAGGTGCAGAGGTCGAGGAAGAGGAGGAGCGAAATGAAGAGGAGGAGGAGATCTCGAGGGACAGGGATGACGAGGCCGTTGTAATAGCCGATGTACCGTTTGTTTCGCGTACTATGCAACCTACCCGCATGGTTACAGAACCGAACGATCTGCCTCGTCTAGTTCGAGTCTCACCGATTCGCCAAGCCCTGTTATCGAACGTTGGAAATAGTCATCCGGATATTGAGCTCAATTCGCGACTCGGGTTTCAAGCGTTAGCGGGTGGTATTCACACATCCAATGCTGGTTTTGTACGAGTTCTGCGTAGCCATAAGCAAGAAGTAAGTAAAAGTTTATAATTGAATCAATGTCAGCATTGTTATCTCCTCTCATTCCTCTTATGGCAATGATCTCATCCAATCTCGAGTGAAAGTGTTTGATGAAGAGATTCGAAGGTCGATTCTACAAGAAGACGACGGCGAATTCCTCTTGATCTGCTGTCGATTGGCTTTACTGGAACATTCATGTCATATGACGGGCGAAAGCTTAGCACCTTATTACTGAAATCGAAGGAGATTACCTCGGAAATAACGTCAGGCTGGATGTTCCAGTAACGCCAATCGATAGCTGGTCAAGAGGAATCCGCCGTCGTTTTCTGGT